AACCCCATCTGATCAGTACATTCTGCTACTCTATGTACCCATTATTAACCAAGCTTGTATAATCTCCATAGAAAAGCATTGCCAGTGGTATTAAATGCCGTGGAGCAGCCACACATGAGCCTAAGGTCATATTTTGCCCAATGCCAAACATCAGCTAGAGGGCTATAAAGCCTCCCAACTGCGTTCTCTGTTGTGTTGGAGCTCCATCCAATATCTACAGGATGAGTTGGAGTGGGGTTCATGGTCGAACACCAATCATCCAACATCAGTACTTCTCGTACTTGTTCGTATGACTGAATGCATTCAGATCCTCACAGCAATGTTCCAACATCTGGTGTTAAAGCTTTGCCAGAAGACTAGAGGCTGTTACTGCTGCAAAGGGGAGAGAAACTCCCTATTAACACCCTTCATTTCAGAAGAAACATTTGATGAGCTGGTGTCTACTAACTTTTGGACATACGATGTATGAAGAACAAAGTGAAGATCTAAATTATTCAGTATTTAAATCCAACAGAATCTGACTTTAACTAACTATAAAGAGCATTGTACGCTTGATAGGTGCATCAGGCTGATTTGAAAGAACAGTTAAAAATTTGCCGAGTTTCCAAACAAATTGAATTTCGAATGAGTTGCAGGATGCAAGTGGAATTTAGTTTCATGTGGATTTCAAGCAACTTAAGTTCATTAAGGTTTCACCATGTAAAGCCAGCCTTATAAGTTGTACTTTTATACAGTAATACTTTCAAACATCGTCATTGCAGTGCGGAAGAGTGTTAGCTTGCTTGTTGCATGTATGAACCAATAAACAACAAGGTTGTTTGTAAATTACCAGTAAGTTGTTGTTTAGAGTTTAAAATCAAACAAATTGAGCAAAACAGTCCAGTCAACACAAACCATGACGACTTGCTTTTGGCGTGAAGTAACAGTGCTCCAGACAAATTCATTAACTATACTAATGCTAACTTGAACATCACCTGAAATCAATATATTTTTGGACAATATTATGATAAAATTTAGTATCTATATCGTCTGGCCCTTATATAGAGGACTATCTAAGTAAAGTGGGACCGAATACACTTTCTAATGGCTAAACCAGTGGTGTGTTTTGGGCAGCGTAGGCCTACTTAAAGTGATAGTTCAACCAAATGATGCATCGGTGCAGTGATCCCTAACATCTCTCTGTCCAACTGCCAAGAGAAACAGATTCACAGTTTATACGTTTGGAGGGGGAAGGACAGTGTAGTCCTTTTTTTATTTTTCGTCAAAATTTCTGTTCGAGATCGATTGGCTTATCACTTCTTATTGTTATCAGTTTACCAATTCCGGCTTCATTATAGTCTTAAAAACCTTTTTAATTAGACTGCTTTTATTTTCCGTTTTGACAGTGGGATGACTTAACCTTTCACTTGCAAGCTTATTAATTTCTTAGTGTTGTGTTTTTATCAAATAGTAACCGAATGTACAAACTAATTCCACAGTGGAAAACTTAAAAACGTTCATTAAAAGTCATTACATTGTTGATTTAATGTAGAAATGTAGTATCTAATAATGTGCAAATTAATATTAAGATGTAATCTTAATCAATATTGATCTTGTGGAAAGTCTTGGCGGCTGTCCTGTGCAAACCCGGCCACCAGATGGCGTCAATATACCAGTATTACATATAGCATTGTATTTGTAATTAATTGATGATTGATGTTAATTGATTTGAGACATAATTACAGGACAACAGTTCATTTCTGAGCTGCAGTTTGCTAGTCTGCAGTCTGCTCTTATAATAACAATGTAAATATAAGAGTATGAATAAGACTGAGTCTAAATCATATGAACAGATAACAAACTAATAGCATTTGATCACTAAATTTAAGTAGAAGCTGCTTACATCATAACCTAGCCTTCAAAATATGACTACAGTATGAATCTAATATGATCACATACTGGGGAAACATTGGGGTGGCATTTCAAATGCTGCTATCTCGCCCAGTGATGCTCCAGACATGGTGCATTTTGTCCAGTGTGCATTTTTCTCCAACATCTCATTGGTTCCTCTGACTTACAAGATCATTAAGGAGCTGAAATGCTAATAATACTACATGCAAGCTAACACCGACGTTATAAGCCTGGCACCCTCACCTCAATACCCCACGCAAGCCAGTAAGCTTTGTTAAATGTGGTGGTCAACTTGTTTTGGCTTTAGTTGTCTTGAGTAGCTGCTGGTATGTAACAGTGTTGAAGCTTAATAGCAGACTATGCAGTCACGTGTCAAAGCTTCAAAAGAAGGGCAAAACATTAGATGCTCCAATGAAATTGAGTATTGTCAGCAACAGGGTAGCCAGATAACTGGTGTAGATTTAATCAGCTACTGTGTCCTCATGTTCACTAAAGCAGGCCTCATTTGAAATTAACAAAGTCCTACTTTATTACAGTTGACTGTATGAACAGCCACGTTATCAAGTTGAGGACACCATCCCGACTTTCCGAGTGGGTATTCCCATTTGAGGGGTATTTTCTTTGATTTTTCCTAGTCGGAGGTCAGAAATTCAGAGTAAGGCTGTCTTTACATGGTAAAACTTTCATGCAGCTAGTTGCATGTTGTAAGTTGCCTGCAACATAATGTCCATGCAACTTGACAGTAACTTGCACACAACACATTAACATTCCCTTGACTCTTTTTTGATACACTGTATTATTCTTGTGAGGTGCTAGTTACATATTTAAGCAATCTATTCACCTAGTTAAAGCAGCTGATTGTAGAAACATTAGCTTTGAAAAGCTATTGAAATCAGTTGTTTGAATGTATGTCGGTTGAGGAGGTGATGTGATTGCCGTATTGATTGGCTGTTTCATGATACTTGTTTGACCATGTTGAAACAGTTGCAAATGTGGCTGTGTTTTAAATTAGCTTCTGGACACTTTACATTATGCAACTCAAGTGCAATTTAGTTTCATGTAGGTTTCAAGCAACTAAAGTTGCATTAAGGTTTCACTGTGTAAAGACAGCCTTACAAGTTGAAGTTGAATACAGCAATACTTACAAACAAAATTTCAATGTGCAAGAGTGTTAGCTGGCTTGTTGCATGTATCTACAAATATTTACAAGCTTGTTTGTAAATTACCGACAATTAGTGGTCCACTAAACAACTTCGTAATTCAGAAGATTCAGTAACAATATGTGTGACATAATGTACAAACATGGTTTCTGAAATGCTAATAAAAACAAAGTATAAATAACTGTTAAATTATTAAAACTATCTCACCTGTATTACATTGAAAACGGTACAAAAACATAATATGTAACGTTTTATCGTATGAACTTCATTGTTTTTGTAAATCTGCACTCAACATGTTTGAAAAATGTTGGGACAGGTGCATGTTTACCCATGTGTTACATCACTCAATAATCAGGGACTGAAAGCACCCATTGATCAAGTTTTGAAACCACCTGCACACTCTGATTACGCCACCACGCTTCTGTAATGTGCAGAATGTGCCTAGGTGTTGTCATGTTGATATAAGTGTGGGTGTCCCGAAAAAGACTGCATCTAAAAGGCAGCATAAGTTTCTCCAAAATATGTTCACCCTTAATGGTGCTTTCACAGATCTACCCACTACACCCCACAATACCATTACAGACCCTGGCTTTAAACTTTACGCTGGTAACAATCTGAACGGTCCTTTTCTTCCTCGGCACAGAGAACAGGAGGTATATTATTTCCTTAATCAATATGAAAGGTTGACTCATCAGACCACAATTCAGGATTCCACTGTGCATCAGTCCATTTCAGACAAGCTCAAGCCCAGAGAAGTCGGCGGCGTTTCAGGATGCTGTTGACTTATAACTTCCACTGTGCATAGTACAGTCTTAACTTGCATTTGTGGATGCAGTTCAGTTCAGGATTCATGAGCTCAAACGTGCCATTTTTTAATGCAGTATCGTCTGAGGTATCGAATTTCTTAGGCATTCTTATGTGGTTTTCAGCCTTGTTCTTTTTATGCACAGATATTTCTCTGGATTGGCTAAATCTTTTGATATTATGCACTGTAGAGGGTGAAATACCCAAAATCACTGGCTGAGAAATGTTATTTTTGAACTGTTGGATTTGAAAGTGAAATTTTGGCAAAGTGGCGAGCCTTGACCCATCCTTGCTCATAGAGGTCTAGGTCTGTAGGGGATAAACCTTTTATTGCATCACATGTATAAGGTGTTTGTTGAACATTTCACAGTGTTCCTAGTCTTAAATTGTCCATATCATAACTTTTTTGGAACGTGTTTCAGACATCATTTTCAGAATGAGCATATATTTACAAAAAAACAATGAATTTTAAAAGGTTAAATATTCACAGTCTTGATTTTGTCCTGTTTTTTGTTCAAATACAGGTGCAGGTAGATTTACAAATCACTGCTTTCTGTTTTTATGTGCATGTTTCCTATTGCCCCAGCTTATTCGGGATTAGGTTTGTAAATATGATCAGCTTTGGAACAATTTTGTTACCCACAGGGGGCAGCGGTGATTTCTGAAAACACCATTCTTTTCCCTGTTTAGTTCCTTATATAGGCATATCTGCAACTACTAAATGAGGCACGACCTCAGAGATCTACTGCAGTTCTCATTTTTGCAAAGCGTTTTATGTACAGTACATTGTAATTGCGGTTGCTATTGATGGTTATTATTGGGTTTTAAAAGATCAGAAACCTCTCTTTATTACCACCACTTTATTTTCGTATGTTCTCAGTGAGTGTACAGGTGAAACGAAATAACACACTACTGCTGTAAACACACACACACACACACACACACACATGCAAGGTTGGGCAAAATACTTTGAAAAAGTAGTAATGGCTGAATACTAAATACACTGTCCTAAATGTATTCAGTAAAGTATTCTGTTACAATACTTCTTGGTATTCAAAATGGTTACTGGTTGCCAGTTTTCTCCATGTAATTATTCTGTTATTAGGTTTCATGAAAAAATCCTTATCATTAAAAAAATCCTTTAAAGAAATTGCTGAATTTCTTTTTTCTCAATGTCTGTTTCAGTCCACTTCAGTGCACAATTTCCCAAGCAGAAGTCCAGAACAACACTGATGCTAAACTTATCACTCACAAACACATCCACTAAAAAAATAGAGTTTAAGCAGTCCTTTGAAACTAGGAGTTCAATAGCTGACCAGTAGATTTATCAGTCTACTCAGGCTTTAGCGGAGCTCAGTAACACTGGGATCAATAACTGATCATCACATTGATTTATCAGTCTACTCAGGCTTTAGCGGAGCTCAGTAACACAGATTAATAACTGATCACATTGATTTATCAGTCTACTCAGGCTTTAGCAGAGCTCAGTAACACTGAGATTAATAACTGATCATATTGATTTATCAGTCTACTCAGGCTTTAGCGGAGTTCAGTAACACTGAGATTAATAACTGATCGCATTGATTTATCAGTCTACTCAGGCTTTAGCAGAGCTCAGTAACACTGAGATTAATAACTGATCATATTGATTTATCAGTCTACTCAGGCTTTAGCAGAGCTCAGTAACACTGAGATTAATAACTGATCATATTGATTTATCGGTCTACTCAGGCTTTAGCAGAGCTCAGTAACACTGAGATTAATAACCGATCATATTGATTTATCGGTCTACTCAGGCTTTAGTCTTCTGTGTTCGTAAAGAAGGCATTGATGGAGGTCTAATTTAGAATTTGTCCAACATGCCTGTTTGCTCCATGTGCGCTAATAATTAAATAGTTTAGAAACAAGCATTGATGATGTTTAGGATTGTATGTTTTTATTTAGTGGGTAAATATTCTAAAAATATTCTCCTAATCTCTGTTCTGAATATTGCCTTTACAAAATGTAAATTGTACTGGATGCAGATTATTTTGTATTGGTCTTAATTTTTATGTTCTGAATAGTATTCCCAATACTAATGTGTTCCATTACATCCCAACCCTGCACACACACACACACACACACACACACACACACACACACACACACATTAGCAGCTCGTTCGCACCTTCTTCAGTCCAGTGAATTCAGGTCCGTATCACTGACCCACACGAACAAGTGGGACTCTTTAGATCCGTCACAGAAAACTCTAATATACAAATCTGTGTATAAAAATATAATTTAGAGTGTGAGTGTGTTATTCAGGAAAACAGAGTCCACGTGCGCGTTTCCACGGACAAAGAAACGACTAAAGGAACAAAAAAAAAGAAAAATCACAAAAATAAATAAAAATACAAACAAATAAACAAAAAAACCCTCCAACTGCTAAATAAATTACAGAACGAAACGCGTTAAGGCTTCTCATTAAGAGCGCGCGGGGGAGGGGGGAGGGGGGGGGTTGCTGCACGTGATCGCATGTCTCTCTCAGCTCGCGCTGGTCTCTGTGTCTGCGAGCCCAAGTGGGTGAAATGAGTCTCGGTGCAGGAGCCACGTGCCCACCCGCAGCAGCGCGCGCGCGTACCAGTGCATCCCCTCCTCCTCCTCCTCCTCCTCCTCTGTCTCCGGTGTTGTCACGGTGTTGTTTTTTGCCGCGCGCTGCCAGTACGGCCGCATCCACGCCGCCAGCGCGTGGCTCAGTCTGGCGGGCGCGAGCGCCCAGTGCGCCCAGCGGTGCTGCTCCACGGCCGCGTAGCACGAGGCCAGCACGCGGTCCACCACCACCGTGCCGTGCGCAGTCACCGGCGCGTACGCGCCCTCCAGCTCCACGGTGTGCACGCGGGTCACGCGCGCGCTCCGCAGACGCCCGTCCCCTTGCTCTTTCTCCTCGGACACGAACACCTCGTGCCCGGGACGCACGCTGCTCGCGAACCTCGCGGACATCAGCGGAGAGGAGCCGGTAGAGTTTCCGTTGCGCACGAGCACGAGGTGCGCGGCCGTGAGCGTGAGCCGCCTCGCGGGCGCCACCGTCTCGATGACGATGAACTGTCTCCGCGCGCGCGGCTCTCTGTCCATGAACATGATGAAGTCGCTGAACGCCGCGCGTCCCCTGCTCGTCCGCCGCCAGCACGCGGTCACCCTCGCGCAGATCACGCACGAGCTTCGTCCCGCCGTCCTCCAGCTGCACCGTCGAGGAGCCCGGGAAACAGCCGCCGGACTTAACGGCCACCGAGTTTTCTAACGGAGAGAAAAACATCAAGACGTGTTAGACTGACCATCAGGAAACACCACAGATCTAATCCTGTCGTCCAGTTGAAAAAAGTCATCATAATAATGACGTACTATCTCATAATTATGACTTACTATCTCATAGCATCTCATAATTAACTGTCTCCTTACTAAGTCATAATTATGAAATAGTAAGTCATTATTATGAGATACTAAGTCACAATAATGAGATTCTAGGCTATAAAGATGAGATACTAAGTCATAATTATGAGATACTAAGTCATGATAGTGAGATATTAGGCAATAATTATGAGATGCTAAGTAATTATTATGAGATCGTAAGTCATAATAATGAGATATTAGGCCATAATTATGAGATACTAAGTCATAATAATGAGATTCTAGGCCACAATTATGAGATACTAAGTCATAATTATGAGGTACTAAGTCATGATAATGCGATATTAGGCCATAATTATGAGATGCTAAGTCATTATTATGAGATAGTAAGTCATAATAATGAGATACTAGGCCATTATTACGAAATACTTAATGATAATGAGATATTAGAACATAATTATGAGATGCTAAGTCATGATTATGAGATGCTAATTTTGAGATGCTAAGTCATACTTACTAGACAGGATCTTATTATTGTTAGAAAGTCATATTATGAAATGAAATAGTTATGAGATACTAAGTCATTATTGACATGCTGAGTCATAATTGAGTTCCTGAGTCATAATTTCGAGATGCTGAATTATAATTGATATGATAACTTTTAATGTGATACCGAGTCATAATTATGAGAGAATATCTATTATGAGATAGTAAGTCATACATTTGAGATAAAAGTCATAATTACAGAATCTCATTCATATGACATAAGACATAATTCTGATAGTATCTAATTTTTATAAAATAGGAAGTCAAAATTATGAGATACATAGTCATAAGTAAAAGATAATGTCATCATTAGGACAGCATGTCAATTATGAGATAATAAGTCATAAGTATTTGAAATTTTCTCATTATTGTGACTTACTAAATATTTATGTATTTTTCAAGTGTAGAAACAGACTTTCATATAATCTAGATTAGGAGTGAACAAATGTTTAGACTTGAGTCACTTTTACATGCTTGTATAATCTCCATAGAAAAGCATTGCCAATAGAACGAGGTCAGAAGGTCATTATGCCCAGTGCCAAGTGTTGGCTAGATGCTCTTGTGGCTGACAAATCCTCACAGCAATGTTCCAACATCTGTGTGTTGGTACAGATTTTTGGAATAAACTGAAATGTCTGTGGTGATGTGACTGTATTGACCCGATTTAATCCAGAATAAGAATTAATCCATTTTTTGTGCAGCTACACATTCAAACACCCAGCTATAGATGAAGCCAAAACCAAGACCGATTAAGGATTTCTAATGTTGAACCACTATTGGCAATCCAGTTTACTCAAAGACTAAACTTAATCCAAATCCAATAAACCAGTCAGTAGAGGATATGACTAGGATCTGATTTAATCCAGCCTGAAAGTGAATCCACATTGGCACAGCCCATCCTAGCACTAATCTGCAGCTGAAAGGTTTATGTCCAAATTATTCAAGTCTTTACAATTAGCAAATAGAAACATGAATAAAATGATCTGATTTAATCCAGATTAACGTGAATCTACACTACTGTAAACCATAATTAATCTCTCAACATGTATAAAGGAGTAGCCTGAATCAAAGCCTTAAGTCAATAATGTGTTGGCATTGGCTGCGTTATTGAATGTAGTGTTGAGCCGGACTGAAAAAAAAAATCAATATCACGATTTCGTTTTCCAAGTTAATCATATTTAAATTAGCATTAATAAAGTTAACGACCCCTTGCTTCCTGATAACTGCCACTCTATGCTAAACAAAAGCCTTGTAGACCTGACATTGTTTGGACTGTTTTGTAATATAATGTTTTTATTTGTATTCACAGTGTCATAAATGTTAACCAGATGAAAACAACCAGTCAGCAACATAAACTACTGTTCAAAAGTTTGGATTTCTAACTTATACAATGTGAATTTAAAGATTTAGATTACCGGCAGATTATTATATTATCTGGCAAAACTCTGGCGTTGAACAGCGATAGAGTCAGAGTTAGGACCAGGGCTAAATTTAGGACCAGGGTTGGATTAAGTTTAGGTTTTGGGTTGCAGTTATAGTTAGAAATTAAGATTGAGAGTTAGGTTGAGGTTTTGGGTTGAGGTTGAAGTTAGGGTTAAGGGCCAGTTTAGGGTTAGGTTTAGGTTTTTGGTTGAAGTTAGGGTTAAGGGCCGGTTTAGGGTTAGGTTTAGGTTTTTGGTTGAAGTTAGGGTTAAGGGCCGTTTAGGGTTAGGTTTAGGTTTTTGGTTGAAGTTAGGGTTAAGGGCCGGTTTAGGGTTAGGTTTAGGTTTTTGGTTGAAGTTAGGGTTAAGGGCCAGTTTAGGGTTAGGTTTAGGTTTTTGGTTGAAGTTAGGGTTAAGGGCCGGTTTAGGGTTAGGTTTAGGTTTTTGGTTGAAGTTAGGGTTAAGGGCCAGTTTAGGGTTAGGTTTAGGTTTTTGGTTGAAGTTAGGTTCAGGGTTAGGGTTACATTTAGGTTTTGGGTTAAGGTTAGAGTTAGGATTAGAATTAAACTGAGAATTAGGGTTTGGATTTAGGTTTTAGCTTGAGGTTAAGGTTTTGAGCTGGAATTAGGGCAAGTTTAGGGTTAAGTTTAGGCTTTTGGTTTGTGGTTAGAGTTAGGATTAGAATTAAGATGCGTTAGGTTTAGGTTTTGAGTTTATGTTTTGGGTTGCGGCTGAGGTTAGGCATGGGATTAGCGCCAGTTTAGGGTAAGGTTTTGGGTTGAAGTTAGAGCCAAGGTTAGGGTTAGGTTTAAGTTTTAGGCTGAAGTTAGGGCCAAGGTTAGGGTTAGGTTTAAGTTTTAGGCTGAATTTAGGGCCAAGGTTAGGGTTAGGTTTAAGTTTTAGGCTGAAGTTAGGGCCAAGGTTAGGGTTAGGTTTAAGTTTTAGGCTGAAGTTAGGGCCAAGGTTAGGGTTAGGTTTAAGTTTTGAATTAAGGGTTAGGATTAAGATTAAGACCAGGGTTAAGGTTGGGGAAAACAGACATTCATTTGAAAGTTAAAGGCAGGGTTAGCATCTTCAAAGCATCTACAGTCGTCTGTGAAGTGTTACCGAATTCTGTGAACAAGAAGTGAATATACTGTAAATGCTAATTACCTGTTTATAATACTTTCTGAGATTTAATCTCCACTTTTGAAATATGAATTCTAGATAGATTTTTATTATAGCTTAATTATCAGTATTATTGTCTTGCAGGTCATTATCATTCACCCAACATCTTCTCATTTTTATTTATAGCTGCCTAAAATAACCTGAAAACAGACAACTAGAATAACAGAACCTTAACTACTTGGCGACAGGAACATTGCTAGAGTTGTACACAAATGACATTATGTTGATTTTCTAAGTTAAAATAAATATACATCCCTGACAGAGAATGCACTATTGTAATGTACACTGTTTATATGCTGATTTTCACATGTTGGGGGGGGGGAAATAAGACCTGCGCAAAAGTTATAGGACAATTTTTATTTTATGTTTTATTTTTTTCCAATATAATAAATTTAGCAAATAAATAAAAATGCTGTAATTCATTTGTTCCTTGTAAAGGCCGTGTTAACAAATCAATCATGTCATTTGACCGGGGGTGTTATATCATGACAATATAATGCTCATTATCTATCCAGTATATCACTAAAACTGTATAGAAATATCAGATTATGTCAGCATAAACATATATCAGTACAGACGATATATGTACCAGTTAAGCATAGTTGAAATGTAAATGTTGCACGTTGAGTTGCTAATTGAACAGTGGAGGCGTATTGTCATTGTAATTGGCTCTCAGTCTGCTCAGACACTCAGCCCATTTATTCAGGTGCTTGTGTGTGTTTGCTCAGGTGCAGCAACTCCTACGTGCAAACTCACACACACACACACACACACACACACACTGAGCGCAGTGCAAATGCACCTTACACGCCGCCGAAACTCTGCGCATTTGCATTGTAGGTGGAGACCTGAGTTGCGTATCAGATGTTTTGTGGATTGAGAGGCAGCCTTTCACACCCAAAATCCCTTAATCCTGGATGCAGCTGGATTAATACAGCCGCCGCTCAGTAACCCCCCCAGTGTTAAACTCAACACCTATAGTGTTGACTACTGTTGTTCTCACATGTAGCTCATTGAAACAAGCAGAGAAATGCAGACTCTAAACTTCCAACCCATGTCTTTGTAATTAGAAGAGCAGATCTTTATTATGATCTGAGTTTGATGGAAAGTTATTGTTGTGTTAAAAGTCTTGCTTTGCAGGAAAGAAAAGCCATCCTTTAGATTTTTGTGAGAAATGCAGACTCAAACCTGCCCTTACAGAATGTTGATTATAGCAACACAATAAATCTAGACTTCTAAGGGTTCGTTTAAATCCAGCTGGACACAAATGAAACATTCTAAGAATGTATTCAACACTGGGGATTTTGCTGTGTAAAGTCCATAGTGGGATTATAAAAGGTGCAGAAATCTTAAAGAGCACATGCCATTAATTTTTTCCCCTTTTTTTAAAAAAATGAGAGTTTGATGTACTATTAAATTTAAAAAAACTACTTCCCCGGCCACATATATATACAACTAAACTGAAACAACAGCCTGTTTTGAGGTGGCTGCTTTTGTAATGTCACAAAACATTTACTTCATGTATTCCTGGTCAAATTACATGTTATTTTCTATTGTTTATCAGCTGAATTTACCGAAGTGGGTAAAAAAATAAACGAAACATGTAGGCTGTGCCAAATTTCTAGCACATTTTAGAGCAAATAAATAGAAATTGTGCACTTTTAAAAACAATTTCTTATTTTTCTCTGTTTCAGATGGATTTTCACCTAGAAAATCATTTGACCGGGGTGCAGTTTAGCCCCGTCCATTCAGGTCAAAGTTCTAAAGCCACAGTCACACTACACATTTGCTGTTCATGTGACCAAGACTGGACTAGAACATGGCGGAAAAAAAAAATCCTCCATTTTATTGCAGCTAGCAAAGCTAACTAACTTGCTAAACCATAAACAGTGAATACAGAAAAGTAAAGATAGTTACGCCAATAACTGTATAGTTGCACAGGGCTGTCGTTGTAGTAAATACGTAGGTAGCTGGTGTGGTTAGAGGCAGTGGTGTGATTCATGTGTGCTGCTGCATTTAGCCAAGCAGCTAACATAGCAGTTGGAAAGCTGGTTAACTTGCCTATCATAAACAGTGAAAAACTAAAGGTGTAGATCAGTGGTTCTCAACCCTGACCCCAGAGGCCCACTACCGTGCACATTTTTAGAGCTTTTCCTCTTTAACACACCCACTTTAACTCAATAACAGCCTGTTAATGGGCTGATAAGTTGGATCAGCTGTGTTGGGAGCAGAGAAAATACTAAAAGGTGCAGGGCAGTTTGCCTCCAAGACCACGGTTGAGAAACAGTGGTACAGATAATTATATCGTCTAATACAGTCTCCCAACAGACGGTGTGTCATACAGTCTCTACTTTGTGTGTTTATTTATAGCCAGTGGGGAAAGAATGTGTAGAGGTTCATGCTAATATGTGCTGTACAAAACCAAACCAGTGGCACTATTGGTCGAAGACGGACATTCGATTGTCAACCAAAGTTGAATTTGATGTAAAATTTTGCAGTGCAGCGTCCACTGAAATGAATGTATGGCTGCATGCAAAAGTTTGGGCACTCCTGGTCAAATTACATGTTTTGTTGACTTTCTAAGTAACGTCTGCACATTTTAATGCACAGGTACTGTTTATTTGCTGAATTGAACATATTTCTAATACGTCATGTTTGTAAAATTTGGCCTTTCCCCCCCCAATATGTTAAAATTTGCTCTAAATTTACACTAAACTTAGCTGAAAAATGTCTTATTTAAGGCAGCACTATGTAATATTTTTGTTAAAACTGAAAGACGTAGCATTGTTGAGTATGGAGAAACAAGAACACTATCAAATATGGTGAGACTGTAAAGCCTGAAAAAGTCATCAAAAGTCAGAGGTGCCAGGACGGGAGTTTTTCGGCCCATGTCATACGCCTTTACGTATTAACATCACACACAGACTCAAAAAGAAGGTCCGACTCATTGTACTGATAAAGATATGATGGCAGTAGTAGATAACTCACTCACATCCTCAGAAGATAGAAGTCACCAAGTTTTGACTGATTTCTCTATGAATACCCTTTTAATGCATGCAATTACACATTTCCACCAGAGGGGTCTCTAAATCCCTAAATCCTACATAGTGTTACTCTAAGGGTATTCTCTGTACAGGATGTGTTAACTTATTTTCACTTAGAAAATCAACAAAACATGTCACCTGACTAGGGGTGTTAACTGTAATTTAAGACACAATGCAGAGCAGCCAATTAAAACAGATGGCATTTACATATATCAGTCTTAAAGGTGCAGTAACAGAAACAGCCTGTTTGAATCCTAAGGTTGTTTTTAGTATGTAAACACACACAAATGCAATAATAACTCTAATACTAAGTAAGAATAAGAAGACTAATGCAGGTTACGGCCTGTGAATGTGTTGAGTGTGTTTTGTTGCAGGTTGAGATGAAGATGCGTGTGAGGCCCACCTGCTTTAACGGAGCAGTGTATATGTGCTTTGGACTCGTAGTAAACCCAGTCGAACCCCGCCTCCACGGCCAGTCTGGACAGCATGCCGTATTTGCTCTTGTCGCGGTCAGACGTGGTGATGTCCACCGCGCGGCCCTCGTAATGCAGTGACTCCTCCAGGTGATTTCCATCTTCATCCCAGCCCTCCGTCACACGCAGCTTCACCCCCGGCCACTGATTCATCACCGAGATCGCCAGCGAATTCAGCTTATCCTTGCAGCGCTGATAGATAGATAGATAGATAGATAGATAGATAGATAGATAGATAGATATGAGAAAGGGAGAGGGAGATCCACATAGGTAGAGAGGGATAAGAAGAAGGGAGATAAGAAAGAAAAGGGAAATGAGAAGGAAAAAGGGGGCGAAAGAGAAGAAAGGAAAATAGAAAGAGAAAGAGAACAAGAAAAAGAGATAGGAAAAGAAAGAGAGAGAGATAAAGAAAGAAAGTCAAAAGGGGAGAAATAGAAGGATAAAGAATGACAGAGAAAGAGAATAGTTAGATATATTAAAAGAAAGCGAGAAAGAAAAAGATACAGATATAAGAGAAATGGAGTGAAAGAGAGAAAGAGGAGAGAGGGAGGCAGAGAGAGAGAGAGAGGGAGAAAAAGTGTTTGTCATATGAATAAAATACAGAGCTGTGTTCCTCTATTAGCAGCAGTCATGTAGCTGTATTGAATGTTGCCATGTAAACATTATCATGCACCCAACTTTCACAGCAGCGTCCACTCAGTCCTGCTCCTGATTTAAACCCCTGAACTGCACATTCTACCATTTTATCTCCTCCGACACTCTAATATTACTGTCACGGCTGATGTGTTGAATCAGGTGTGTAGGAGCAGAAACATCATTATACATGTGCAGACATACAGTGGTTAAATACAGGAGCATCAGTCTGGCTTCAGTATAAACTCCTCTACGCTCCTCAGTAGCTCCACGTGTTCTCTGTATACTGGGATACGTCTGCACACAACTCCACACTCAAACACCCTGAATGGGGAATTAAGTAGAGCTGAAAGTCTAAGTGAAGCCTCAATGTGCACAGTGGCCATCATCAGTTTTAAACAGTAGCTGATTTAGTAGATTTATTGTGGCTCCAGTGTTGTTATTCTGCCATTTTCTCATCTAGAACAACACACACACACACACACACACACACACACACACACGCACACGCACGCACACACACACACACACACACACACACACTTTAAATCCCATTAAGTCCTACCTCAAGTTATTTGACAGGTAAACATTCACCTGCATTCCTACACGTTTGTCATCTCTTTCACTGCTCCTAAAACCTGCTGCACGTCTTTTTTTCCAAACACACGTTATTATCTGTTATACATGTTATACAGAAAACCTCATATCTCCATTTTTGATGTTTTTCAGTTTTTGACATCATTTGAAAATGCATGTTACCCTTCATATTGTATGCAAATTTCATGATGAATGGACTAAAGGAAATGACCCAAAATGACTTGGAAAAAAGTCTGGTTCCATTGACTTACATTAAAAGTGAAGTAGGTTTTTTCCTTCTCCTGTAAAATGATCATTTTGGAGATATGAGGTTTTCTTCCGACAACAGCGATGTGTAATTTTTTCAGTGGAAATAAGTGCACATCTACAGAAAACACAGTTCTGCATATTTTAACGCACAATTACTGCTTATTTGCTGGATATATACATATGTATGTATATATATATAATATATATATATATATATATATATACATATGTATGTATATATATATATGTATCCCAGAAAGAGTTTGAACTGTTTTTTTGTTTGAAAGTGTATTTACATTCATTTGGGATTAATAAAGTGTCTATCTATCTATCTATCTATCTATCTATCTATCTATCTATCTGTCTGTCTGCCTGTCTGTCTGTCTATCTATCTATCGTTTCTTCAGTCTGTCATCAAATGTCCAGTTATCCTAGCTGTACATCTGTTTACACAACAACATCCAACAAACTTAGCGGCTCAGACAGGAGGTGTTTATGTGTGGCTAAACATATGAGGTCAGTTTCCCGGACAGCGATTAAGCTTAGCCCTGGACTACAACGCTTTCTGAATAGACATATTCCATTGCAAGGAGAACGTAGCCCAGGACTAGGCTTAATCCCTGTCTGGGAAACCAGCCCTAGAAACATTAGTTGCCAGTTTTCCAGACACTGTGTAAGTCTAAGCCTCGACTAAAGAAGGGTTTGGAATAAAGAAGCACCACTGACATTGCAGTTTAGTCCAGAACGAGAGATGCAGCAGGGCAAAAATCATCAGGCTGCTGTTTACTGGAAGAGTCTAGCCACAAATCCCCACCTCCACCCCGCCACTTCCATTAAAGAAGCCGAGTAAAACGTCTGAGATATAATTGGAGTATCATTGGCGTAATGGCCAATAATAGATGCGCAACATCAGCTGCACTGATCACTCCTGACCCAGATTGGGCAAAGAAAGCAGGCTCAGCAGACAGGACTCATTCAAACAGAGTGTGGAATTAAAGCCGACACATATGTTGTTCAATACCACGCATATTGCGCAATGCACTGTTGCGAAGCGCAAAAGGGCGGGATTGTACAGGGCTTAAGGTCATGTCAGTAGCTGGCACAGATTCACTAACGTGTGTATTGGCCTAGAAAGAGATGAATATGTAAAGCTGAAACTAATTTACAGCACATAAAGTGAGAACGTATGTCATTTGACAATAAGTGAAATAATAGCTTATGTATTTATATACACTATGTGGCCAAAAGTTTGTGGACACCTGCTCATCCAATGTTTCTTTCAAAATCAATAGTGTTTAAAAAGAGTCTCTCCCCTCTTTGGTGCAGTAGCAGCCTCTACTCTTCTGGGAAGGCTCTAGATGTTGGAACATTGCTGTGAGGATTTGATTGAGCATTAGTGAGGTCTGATGATGGATGGTCAGTTCTGGATCACTCCAACTCAACCCAAAGGTATAGGAGCTCCATCACTCCAGAAAACACAGTTGTTCCAGTTTTGGGGGGCTTTATACCCCCACTAGGCCATGCTTGGCATTGGACATGGTGACCTCAGGCTCATGTGTGGCTGCTTCAGACCGTCCCATTCTACTGGTCAAGGCTTGTCTATGGAGAGCACCTCAATGCAGCTGAGCTCACTAATACGACTCGGTTGTCCACAAACTTTTGGACGTATAGTGCAACCGTGTAGCCCAACTAGTGCGTGCATATAGGGGCATAAACAGATAAAAAAAAGAAGTGACGTTATTTCAAAATATCAAACTTCCTCTGCGCTCGGGGTCCCTGTGCGCCCGCTAATGACCGCGCTTTTGCGCATTTGCGCATTCGCCGCTCCGTACCTGTGTCATCAGCCTGTCCGCGTTCGTGTTCTCCTCATCCTTGAAGATGATATCAGGGTTGTAGTTGGGCGTGAGCTCCTTAAACCTCTCGGAGTCCCTCGTGATTTTGCCCTCGTATTTGCCGCTCGCGCCGAGAGTCTTCTCAGCCACGTTGGGAATAAACTGCTTGTAAGCCAGCGGCGTGAGCTTCTTGGGGTGCCTGCGCTTCCCATAACCCCTGCCTGGACCACAGGCCAATCCACAGGACGTGAGAAAGAGGCAGAGCAGAGATGCGAGTGCGATCCTCCTCAGCAGCAGCATTGCGTTCCAGTTCTCCGGAGTCGGTGGAAATCTTAGGGGTCCAAGCACCAAATATATTTGTACCTCCTCGCGCTTCTGCGCCTTTTTTTTTATTCTTTAGCTGCGATCCAGTAAAAGTGCTGCAAGAAGAAACAGGTGCAGTCTCGACCCTCTCGTGCAGCCCACTGGCAGAGAGCGGTGGAGTTCGGCTCTCGATGCTCAGACCTGCAGGCTTAGACCCGTATGAGCGAGGCAGCCTTTAACTCCTGTACATTACAGCCGCGAGCTGTGGCAAAGCGAGGCAGCTCATTGGCCCAGCGGAGAAAAGCTGCTGTGATGTTATTCCACCTCAGACTACATCCTGCTGAGCCTTACCTGGACACTCAGCTCTGTTACTGTGATGTCTCATCCTAATGGTGATGGCAAAGGCTGAAATAGGCTGCATCACCCAGGATAGATAAATAAATAAATAAATAAATACATTCACAGATTGAAAACTCAATAAAAACCACAAGAAAAAAAGTGAAAATGAAAAAGTGATTTGTAACTTTTCTAATGGCGGTTTGTTTAAATTAATTACTTGCTTTTATTGATGTTCTTGACGTGAAAATAATTACTCATATTCTACAGAGAGCGGCACATTTTAAAGCACAGATACTCTTTATTTGCTGAGCCAAAAACATTGGGCGAATATTATAAAGTGTGGTTTATCTAAAACATTTTAGATTTGATTTGATGAACACGATAAACTCCACAAATAAATAGAACTTGTGCACTAAAAATTGCAGGAATCAGAGATTATGGATGTCTCCAAAAGGATAACAACTAAATTAAATACTAACCAATGATTAGCTTAAAAAAAGACGACAGCGATAAAACTCAACATCCTCCTTCGTCTCTACAGTTATTCAGTCGTAGCTATTCATGTTCAGCATCGTGGAGAAAGGCAGAAAGCATATGTTTAACAGAACGTTATGCAGAATCATCAACAACTTAATATAATACTTATTTTTTCAGTGTTTATTGTGTCCACACTTTGCCTTTATTACAGTTTCCCTTCTTTTCAAAAGACTCACTTTCAGTTTTTCAGAGAAATCTGCAGGGATATTTTTCCACATCTCCAAAGGTCAGAAGTTCCGTCTTAGAAGTTGGTTGTATTTTTACGATCCAACACATTCAGTGTTGTTGAGGTCTGTTGAGGAGTGGTCAGTCCATTGTTCTGAGATTGACAGACAAACAGACAGACAGACAGACAGACAGACAGACAGACAGATAGATAGATAGATAGATAGATAGATAGATAGATAGATAGATAGATAGATAGATAGATAGGTGGGTGGATGGATGGATGAATAGACAGACAGAGAGACAGACAGACAGATAGATAGATAGATAGATAGATAGATAGATAGATAGATAGATAGATAGATAGATAGATAAACAGACAGACAGACACAAAGACAGACAGATAGATAGATGGATAGATAGATAGATAGATAGGTAGATAGATAGATAGATAGATAGATAGATAGATAGATAGATAGATAGATAGATAGACAGACACAAAGACAGACAGATGGAGATATAGACAGACAGACAGACAGACAGATAGATAGATAGATAGATAGATAGATAGATAGATAGATAGATAGATAGATAAATAGACAAACAAACAGACAGACAGAATAGGCAGACAGATAGATTGATAGACAAACAGACAGATGGAGATATAGACAGACAGACAGACAGACAGATAGATAGATAGATAGATAGATAGATAGATAGATAGATAGATAGATAAACAGACAGACAGACAGACAGATAGATAGATAGATAGATAGATAGATAGATAGATAGACAGACAGACAGACAGATAGATAGATCGATAGATAGATAGATAGATAGATAGACAGACACAAAGACAGACAGATAGATTGATAGACAGACAGACAGACAGATAGATAGATAGATAGATAGATAGATAGATAGACAGACACAAAGACAGACAGATGGAGATATAGACAAACAGACAGACAGACAGACAGACAGATAGATAGATAGATAGATAGATAGATAGATAGATAGATAGATAGATAGATAGATAGAAAGATAGATAGATAAATAGACAGACAAACAGACAGACAGAATAGGCAGACAGATAGATTGATAGACAAACAGACAGATGGAGATACAGACAGACAGACAGACAGACAGATAGATAGATAGATAGATAGATAGATAGATAGATAGATAGATAGATAGATAGATAGATAGATAGATAAACAGACAGACAGACAGACAGATAGATAGATAGATAGATAGATAGATAGATAGATAGATAGATAAACAGACAGACAGACAGACAGACAGATAGATAGATCGATAGATAGATAGATAGATAGATAGATAGATAGATAGATAGACAGACACAAAGACAGACAGATAGATTGATAGACAGACAGACAGATAGATAGATAGATAGATAGATAGATAGACAGACAGACAGACAGATGGAGATATAGACAGACAGACAGGCAGCCAGACAGACAGACAGGCAGCCAGACAGATAGATATATAGCATTAGTGAGCCACCAAGTCATAAAGTAAGTAGTAAACAGTGAACTGTGCTTTAATCAAGACATGTAACATCGTATGTTTTCCTGGAGTCGCTCCAAAATAATGCAGGAGCCCTCATACGTCAGCAAATCCTTTTAGCAGCAGAGAGGTGGCTTAAGGGATTGGTTCACCTAAAACACTAATTTGGCTGAAAATAAAGTACAGCTAGTTGGAAGCAGTGAGCATTTTGCACAAGGAATGACTCTAACAGATATCCATTATCTTCTGTGTAGTGTTAGCCACATTTGCAACTCTGGGGATAATTACTGATTTAGCGGAGATAATCAGGCACTTTGGGCTCTGTAGCATCTCCACGTGATCCTGTTTGAGTGGCCCCACTCAACCAGAGCAGTATGTTCCGTCCAGGACTGTAAATCTCTGAACTCACGACGATTCAGTTTAATTAGATTACGATTCTGCATCATTCAGTTTGATTCAATTCAATCTCAGATCAGCTCCCCTCCCCCCGCCCCCCATCCACGTAACTGCATCTATTTGGATACAACACAAATAAAACTGATCCTGGATCAGCACGAGCTGAGTCAGTCTTTGAACTTTCCGTTCTCTAGAAGATGGTTTTACAGTGAATCACTACAAGACTGAGGATGACAGGATGCCTCCAAAGAAGCTGAGTGACTAATGAGCTCACCTTTATGGAGGTGAAGTCAATTGTGTCACTTTCTTTTACAGTCTCTCTGTTTAATGGACGCAGTGTGGTCTCGTCTTTGTCTTTCTCTCACGCTACTTACAATCATTTTCCCTCCTCATTCCCGTCACTCAGAAAGAATGAATTCTGAATTCGTGACACTTTCCTCGCCTGGACTTGCAGTGGTTCTGCAACTTTGGCGTGAAAGTGAGCAAAGCATCACCCTTGTGCCACTTTTTTTGGGGGGGGGGGCCTACAGAGGGGCTTGCACTTGCCAATCTCAGGCCAGGAACTGACAGATATGTCACGATATCAGTGGTGGGGAGTAACTGGTTACATTTACCCAAGTACATGTACTTAAGAAATCGATGTAATTGTACTTGCCTGAGTATTTTTAAATCATGATACATTTATTTCCACTTAAGTATATTATTGAGTGAAAGAATCTACATTTTACTTACATTTTAGCCATTCTTATTTAGTTACGAATTCTTTTTTGTGTTTAATTTTATTATGTTTGGTTGGTTACAGCATCTACAATGCTTTGTGATTGGCCAAACCACTGACTATGGAGCTTTAGCATTTTATTTTAGGCCAAAAGGATCCCAAAAAAGAAAAATAGAGCATAACAAACTTCAGTTCCTGTGCTGATAAATGCTGGATTTAATAATAAGTTCCACCGTAGTTCTGTAAAAGCTGCTTTTCCGCAGCATGGCCCCAGCTCCTCGACTCGACTTGACTCGGCTTTTTTCGTTTTCCATTAGACAAACCTTGTACCTTGTATCTGGTACTTTTTTTGTATCACCTCGATCAAAGTTCCAAGCGAGCTGAGCTGAGTGAAAGGTGACGTAGTAAAATCGCAGAGGCTGATTGGTTGGAGAGAATCGGCACTATCACCCTAAACACAAATGCATTAGCTACCAGGTAAGTGTACACTCTCGCGTCACCCTTGAGCAGCAAGAATCGTCTCATCGTCTGAACTGTGATTCCCAAATTCTACTGTTTTTTGTCAGCAGTCTTATTTCTTGCTGCCATCTGCCTCATCTGAAATTTGTCTCCTTCACGTCACCGTAGATTCATTTGGTGTCACTTTGACGACTAGCTACCTTAAGGGGGCGCTATATCTGCAGTGGAAAACCAAGTAGCTGGTAGCAAAAGTGGGTAGAGTCGAGTTGAGTTGAGTGCCATAAGTTATTCAGTACTTTTGTACTTCTACTCAAGTTGTTTTATGGTACTTTTACTTTTGAGCCAGTATTTTACCCAAGTATTAACCTAATTTTACTCGAGTAAGGGTTTAGATTATGTTACCAACCTCTGTCACATATACAAAGATATAAAATCATAGGAAGCCACATTATTTTTGACCTGTATCTCTTAAATAATAATAGTGTAATGTGGTGATATTCCATTGGTGATTGGATTTAATTCCCCTGAACGCAGAAAAATAACATACGACATTTTATATCTCATAAAGAGGATTTTTTTAATGTCTTTTAATGCATAATTCAGTCACTGAGATTTAAATAATCTTCAAAGTGTTTTGAAGTGAAAGGCTTCATTGTAGAGAAACATACAGCCTCTGGTTTCTTTACAGTGGTGATAGGAAAAAGGGGTTGCAATGTCAACAATGCAAAATATTTTACTATCAACATACACACAAAAAATGACACATGGAGGTTCACAACAGTAAAATAGTCCTTTTAAGAGTAAAAAAAAGTATAAATTTTGCTGAAAAAAGTTTGTTTGAAAAAGTTTTGAA